GTATATATACAAGTACTGTATATTTAAAATGCACCATTTGAATTAAAAAAAGGAGAAGTTGACCTTATGTGGTGTACTTTAATTCACTTTTATATTTATTTTTCCATTTCCATGTGCAGATTTATTCCTAATTATATCATTTTCAGTCCTCCATAATAATGAATATGTATTTAGCCAATACCTTTGAGTAAATTTTACTTTTTCAACCCATCGAGTTGCTGGTGTAAACCTGGTTGACGGAGTTCATTTAAACAGAATATTTTCTGACTCAGACCAGGCTTTCAACTCTAATATCTTCAGTCGAGTTGAGGTTGGGACTAAAGATCATTCCAGAAGTTTACTGTTAGTCTCATTTATCCAATCAGAAACTGAAGAGTGGTTGGGATCAGTGTCCTATTAAAAACATTAATGTGTCCAGTTGTCATACATCTAGTTGTTGATTTGATTTAAATTGAAGAATTTAGAGGTAGACCTCCTTCTTCATCCGTTTTGCTCAATAGACTAGAACCACATCATGATGCTATCACCACCATGCCTGACCTCTACAGTGTTCTGGTTTAAAAACCTCAGCATGACTCCTCCAAGTTAATGTCATTGTGGTCAAACAATTCAGTTTTTACCTCATTTGCTAATGCTTTTCTCCAGATGACATTAATCTCAAATTTCACCTGAGCTTGAAGGTGTCCCTTTTGGAGCAGAGGCTTCATTCTCAGTTGACCCCCGCTCAGTCTGTGGTGATGTAAAACTGCCTTTATGACACCGGAGCTCCAACAGGTCATGATGGGCTTGAGGTGAGGGGAGCTTAGTGGTTCATTAACCTCCTAACCTATTTCCTTTCATCTGAGAGGGGATTCTCTAATCCAGTTCTGTCAAATAATCCCTTCTTATGCAGGCAAAGAGAAAGAAACAGGGTCAGTGGATCACGACTGCTAAGGAGACGTTTGTCAAGTTAGAACACATAAACCAAGGCAATTTTATTTGTATAAAACATTTCAGTAAGAGGACAATTCAAAGTGTTTTACATGATGACAACATAAAAACAGAAGTGTATTTCAATGAGGAGAGACGAAACGTTTCATTAGAGAAGAGCCCATCCAGAAGACCTACACAAGTTATTTCTTTTTGATTTCAATGAAAGAGTTTCGGAAAACTGAATTTTGCTTGTTTGGTTCTGGATGCAGAGTAGTCTTGAACCAAAAGACCTGGATGGTCTGGAAGGTTGATACAACAAATCTTTAATGTACTTATAAGAAAGTGTTCAAAACCTGGTTAATTGTGTAGAAAATAATATTACAGTTACACAATAGAGCCAAAATTCAAAACTTAGTCCAACGGGTCATTCTCTGTCCAAATTTGATTAAATAAATTGTGTTTTAAATGTTATCGAATAAATTATTTTTATAACAACACAATTCATTTTATGTAGCCTTTAGAATGCACATATAAGATTGCACTTAAAAAGACATCTTTAGCTTTTATTTCTTAGGCCTTACAGACTATCCACAACTATTTCTTTTAATTCTTAGAGATACATTTTGTCTCTAACTAGCAAGTCAAAAAAGGTAATCTTAAAAAGAAAACCTTCACTAAAAATCCAAATATTTGATTTACAAAATAAAAGAGAACCCAGGATTAAATTCAACTACTGTCAAGAAAAGACTGCACTAATTACAGTGACAAAAATAAAACTATTTTACATTTAAAATATTACCATAAGGCCGGATAAAATGTAAACAGGGGCTGGATTTGGCCCGCGGGCATTGTGTTTGACATGTCCTGTCGAAGTTTTAACCCATTTATTAAATTTAGAGAAAATTAAAGAAAATCAAGCAAAAATAATTTTTAAAAGAATATTGATGTTTCTTGGTTTATAATCCTCCATCCTATAAAATATGTGACCCATCACATCGAAACGAGGATTAAGTCCAAAAGTGGAATGTGGAGAAATAGGCAGATATAGGGTTTTGATTTAAACATCTGTAAAATTTGCATTTTGTCAAAACATAATGAATGCTTGATCAATGTATCATTTGAATGAACTTTCCACAATAGAAACCTAAAAAAATTTTTGAAGCATTATTTTTTGAGTAGCAGAAACAAAATAACCTGATTTTGAGGAAAAATGCCTTAAATTTTTTAAATTTTCCCTGTGAGCTACAAATGTTTTGGTTTATTTCCAACTGGGAAATCAATATAGAGCAGGTAAAATAAGTATTGAACACGTCACCATTTTTCTCAGTAAATATATTACTAGAGGTGCTAATGACATGAAATTTTCACCAGATGTYGGTAACAACCCAAGTGATCCATACATACAAAGAAATCAAACCATAAATGTCCAGAAATGAAGTTATTTGTAATAATGTGGAATGGCACAGGGAAAAAGTATTGAACACATGAAGAAAGGGAGGTGTAAAAAGGCATGGAAAGCCAAGACACCAGCTGAACTCTCTCAGTAATTAGAAAACAAGCCTGCCCCTTGTCAGTGCAAGTTAATATCAGCTGGTTCAGTCCCAAATGATGACCAGGTATCACACAAGAACCATCTGATGATGGGTAAAAGTAAAGAGCTCTCTCAAGACCTTCACAACCTTGTTGTTGCAAAGCATAATGATGGCATCGGTTACAGAAGAATGTCTAAACTTCTGAAGGTTCCAGTGAGCACTGTTGGGGCCATAATTCAGAAGTGGAAAGAACATTATTTCACCATAAACCGACCACGACCAGGTGCTCCTCACAAGATTTCTGACAGAGGAGTGAAAAGAATGATCAGAAGAGTTGTCCAAGAGCCAAGGACCACTTGTGGAGAGCTTCAGAAAGACCTGGAATTAGCAGGTACGATTGTTTCAAAGAAAACAATAAGTAATGCACTGAACCACCATGGCCTGTATGCACGCTCACCACGCAAGACTCCACTGCTGAAGAAACAGCATGTTGAAGCTCCTTTAAAGTTTGCTGCACAACATTTAGACAAGCCTGTGTAATACTGGGAGAATATAGTCTGGTCAGATGAGACCAACATTGAACTGTTTGGATGCCAGAATACACATCATGTTTGGAGGTCAAATGGCACTGCACATCAGCCCAAAAACACCATACCAACAGTGAAGTTTGGAGGTGGGAACATCATGGTGTGGGGCTGTTTTTCAGCATATGGTACTGGCAAACTTCAAATAATTGAAGGAAGGATGAGTGCAAAAATGTACAGAGACATTMTTGATAAAAATCTGCTTCCATCTACCAGGATGATGAAGATGAAACGTGGCTGGACATTTCAGCAAGACAATGAGCCCAAACACAGAGTCAAGGAAACTCTCAGTTGGTTTCAGAGAAAGAAACTAAAGCTGCTGGAATGGCCCAGCCAATCACCTGACCTGAATCCAACAGAAAATCTATGGAAAGAACTAAAGATCAGAGTTCATAGAAGAGGTCCACGAAACCTTCAAGATTTGAAGACTGTTTGTGGAAGAATGGGCCAAAATCACACCTGAGCAATGCATGCCACTAGTTTCTCCATACAGGAGGCGTCTTGAAGCTGTCATTGACAACAAAGGCTTTTGTACAAAGTATTAGATAAATTTCAGTAAGTGTGTTCAATACTTTTTCCCTGTGCCATTCCACATTATTACAAATACTTCATTTCTGGACATTTATGGTTTGATTTCTTTGTATGTATGGATCACTTGGGTTGTTACCAACATCTGGTGAAAATTTCATGTCATTAGCTCCTCTAGTAATATATTTACTGAGAAAAATGGTGACGTGTTCAATACTTATTTTATCCACTGTACAAATACTATTTGAGGTTTCCTCTTTATATTGACATTAAAAAATGACTCAATAAATTTACATGAAATTAGGATTCAGACCAAACAGTAATATAATATAGTAACCAACAAGACAAATTAAGTCATATCTCTGGATAAGCTTATGATATCAGAATGATCCAGGTATCAAAATGTAGCTTTTAAAGCAGGAATATGAAAGTGTAAATAGGTCATTTTGACCAAATTTGACTTAATCCTCATTTCAATATGATGGGTCACATATAACAGTGCAAA